CATCATTGTCTATGCCTGTATATCAGTATTTAAAGTTTGATGGAATCATTTGAATAAGATATAAGACTTCACAAGTGGCTGCAGTTTTGTCCATATTTTCAAATCTTTAAGGGTAACTAGTATGTTGTGTTTCTTAACTACAAGCTCTCTGAATAGCATTGTACTGTTTTAGCATTTATGTAGCTGTTCTACTGAACTCATAGTCAGGTCACATATTAGATATGAATTCACAAAGGAATTTTGCAGCTTTTTTTCCCCCCTTTTTTTTATTTTCTTCCAGATGGTCTGATACTACATAAACACAACCTCTGGTGAGGACAGGGAAGCAAGAGTTTGAGAAAAACTTCCTGGCCAAGAACAGCTGTGGGAATTCACTCCCAGGTCTGATTAAAGTGGGGGTTGGGGGCAGAGGGAGACTTTCTTTTCCTGTACTTTTGCATCAATTAAGTCACTCAGTGATCTGGATTGCATTTCCACATTTTTTTATTCGATTACTGTGTAAATACTCATTGCTTACTTTGCTTTTGTTTTATTTTTTTTCCTGATACTTACTGAAAGCTCTAAACCCAAATAAATTACAGGTTCAGTTAAAACTCAATCTTGCTTTTGTGCTGAAAAAGCCCATTCAAGGCTTCGTAAGCTCCTCAAAATTGATTTTTGGAGCACTGTTATTTAATCTGTCCTTTACAAAACTTTAATGCCTTAAGCAAATCCTTCTTGCCTTATTCCCACCACTAGGTGCTTTGACTTCATGGTAAGCAGATAAATATAAGACAAAAAAATGCAGTTCAGATTGTTCCCCCCAGTCCCTAGTAGTTCTCTAACTTGACTATTCTCCCTTTCTCATTATTGAATAAAACCTTCTGTGTAAACACTGTTTTTTGTGCTCCCATGGCACACAGGCTTTTTCCCATCAGTTGCTTGCTCTCTCCCACCTGCTATATCTGACTCATTAGTTCAGCTTCAGCTTTGCTTCACCTATTCCTTCCCCAAAGAATTATATTTAAAGTTCATGACACTGTTCTTATTCTCAGCATACTTTCTCTTCACATATCTGCTGGGCCTGCAGATAATACTGTCTAACTTTCCCTCGGCTCAGTGGCTCCAACTTCAGTATTTTCCTCCAGGGTTCAGTCTTTAAAAAGAGGCCTGTGGCAGAGATGGCAAAGGGAATCTGCAGGCTAACTGTGGCCCAGTCAATATATTAATTCAACTTTCTTGTCAGCCTGCCATTGTCAGATGACATTGTCATCTGAGGTGCTGCCAGCCATAACAACATGATGCAGGGCTCCAACACTGCAGCTTTTGCATGTGGGACTGAGTGCGAAGCAACATCAATTGCATTTCAGTCAGTTCTTTTTGCACGTGACACAATTCTGAGAGTTTTCTGTCAGCCGTTATTTTACATGCAAAGGAGGCAGAAGGAAATCCAGTAAAACTGAATGCAGAAAAAATAGTATTCTGACTTTGCACATCTTGTATGGCTGGTCTCAGGTACTGTATGGCCCTGACTACAGGTGCAGTTTGATGCTGTTGCTGTATTCAGAGCATTTGGGTTTGGCCTGCAAGGTGACAGGAAGCTTAAAACTGCCCAAAGTTAGGGGTTCACTTACCTCAACCTACTGTGAAAGAACAGTGTTTGAAGCACAGTTTTTTTTAAAGAAGTTTTAGTATAAAATAATCCCTCTATCCTCATTACTTTGTATTTTCTTTATTAAAAGCCTTCAGTGAAAGAATACCAGCTAATGTAGGTAACTAGAAGCCTTCACTGAAAGAATACCATCAATGTAGGTAACTAGAAAGAACCAAGTAACTAAAATTGTGTGAAGACTGAAATACTAGCCATTAATGCTGGCAGTAAGTAGGTTGAAGTAGTTAGTACCATCTTCCACATTACCTATATTGTAATGGCCTTTAAACAACAATTCAGTGGTGATTATGTTACCACCTGTCTTCTGATGAAATGTTTGTCCCTACCAGCTGTACCTTATTATATTAATTGTTCTGGAACTTTTTTCTAAAAATCAATCAACAGAATAGAAAACCAGTTTAAATATCTTTAAAATGTTCACATTAAGGATTTCTGTATGGCTTACTTTTTTTTATTATTCATTTAACTGAAAAGCCTTATGGTTTTGAGCGATTGTCAGCTACAAACTGTATGGTGGACATTGATTTGACTGCAATCAACAGCAAAGCATCTGTTGGCTTAATTTTACCCAGATAAGCAATACTAACACAAACATGGGCACTTCAGGAAAGCTGAATACCTTGTGTGTCAATGTGACACCAGACCAACACACAAGTGACTTCAGCTACCCAAACCCACAGCAATCCCTTATGAAGAGAGTGAAGTACTTGTGTTCTCTCAGTTCTAACAGGACATGGAAATCAGTTTAGTACTAAACAGAAAGGGTGGTATCCAGAGAGTAATTAAAAAATACTGGAAATAAGTTGAAAAAAAAATATAAAGACTTCCATCTCTGAAAGAAAATAAATACTCAGTAATTTCTGCTGTGGGACAAATGTCCTTGTGATTTAAAAGAAGCTTTCTTACACCTACAGTCCTGTTAAAGAGTGTACAGTGGTTGGACATTCTGAGCAACTGTATGAAGCATGGACTTTCTCCCTTGATTCCCCCCCCCCCCCCCCCCCCCCCCCCCGAACATGGTTGCATTTTAAAATTTGTTTGGATTAAGACATTTTAACCTTTTTTCACTTTGGGTGATAGTTTTCCAGAGATGAGTCAAAATACTGGCAAGAGGAGAGTTTAGTGACAATATTCAGAATTTTGGATGCATGCTTTCCAGCTGTCTTGTTATTTCTGAACTGTCAGTAACATTTTATTCGATTTTAACACTTTAAACATGTTTTCAGTTTCACTGTAATAGTAAACACCCCACAAAAGCTGTGTTTTATAACAGCAAAAGTAGCTATTAATGCAGAGATTTGCAATGTGTTGCTTTTATATGCCAAATAATACTCTCTGTGTGTGTGTGTGTATGTGTGTAGATATATGTATTCAGGACATTAATGCATGAATGGTTTTGTAAATAGTGGGCTGGATTTCTGTCTTATTTTCACTTGCCTTGCTCTGCTGTGCATGTCATAGCTATTCCTGACTTAGACTTGCAAATAACAGGAGAATAATGCTACCTGTGTATTAGACATACAGATAGCTTCTATACAAAGCTTATCATGTGCCATAATAGTGTCAAAATTACCAGTGAAGAAGTAATCATCTCTCTATATCACCCAGTTCAATTTGAATTGAAGTGTTTAGAAGGCCAACTTCTTTCATTAAATACCAACTACTTCAAAAGCTGAAGCTGTCATGAATCATCAATGCCATCACCAACTTAGCACCTTCTAATTATCTGGAAATACTCTAGAAATCTGGTCGTTGTCTTTGTTTCTCCAATTATATCATTGTATATGCAGCAGACAATAGATTTTGTGACCATACAATAGTATATGTCCCTTCATATTAAACGACCAAAACATAAAGAGTTGTGACTTAATTGGTTGCAATTTGACATTACTATCATGACTTCATAGAGAGAATGAGTACTGTGGACAGTTTTGCCTTTTTTTTTTTTTTTTTAATATTCTTTTTATTTTGGTAGAAATACAAATCTGTCAAAAAAGTGGCAGGAGAGGAAAACAAACAAACAAACAAAAAATTATAAACCTTCCACTTGGGTTCTGTGAATGTTGTATTCTCTGCATATCCTGGCATATGCTAGGCTTTTAAATAAGTGTTTCTGAAGTACCTTACAACAGTTTAGCTCCATCTGCCATCCAGTTTTTGCTATAAAAGTGGCCAGCCTGATCATCTTCCATCTCCTGAGGCAAGGCAAACTCCTTTAGGCAAAATTTATTGAGAGGAGAAGCAAATTCCTTAAGTCAAATGGGCCAAATAGCTTGTTGACAAAATTGCCAAGTAAAGTATATAATGATTTTTTACTATTTTTTTTTTAAACCCATTTGATTGCAGCTAAAACACAGAAACACCTGAATCAAATTTTCTGCGTATGAAAACAAGGAAATCTGTAAACTGACGCTATTTTAGGCTAATTGCATTTTGTTGGGTTTCGGGGGAGCGCTACATAGTAGCAACTGTGGGAAAACCACTAAATAGTTCTCTGTTTGAACCATCTGTCACGAATACGGGACATATGCTCGCTTTGTTTGTTCAGGAGCCAAGTGGAAGCCGATACACTCAGCCCGGCCCCGGCCGAGGGCTCACCCGCGCCGAGCCCCGCGGATCCCGCGCCCGCAGCCCCCGGCCGGCGCAGCGGAGCGCAGCCTGCGCCGGGCAGCGCTTCCTCCGCAGGCGCGGTGCCTGCCCCGCAGAGGGCTGCGGGGGAAAGACGGGCCGTCCCTCCTCCCCTTCGCCAGCCCCGCGGGGTCGCAGCGGGACCCCGCGGGCAGCGGGGAGGCCGGGAAGCGGGGTGAGCCCCCACCGGGCGCCGGCCCCGGCACCCGCAGCTCGGTCACTTTGGCGGCGGCTCCCGCTCGGCACCGTCCCCGGGGTGCCGCGCCCGCGGGGGCTTCCGCAGACCTCTCCGCGTTAGTCGGCGGAACCGCGGCGGCCGGCCCCGGCGGGGCTCCGCGCTCTCCCGCTGAGCTGCCTCTCTCTCCACCGCCCAGCCCCGATTTCCCCCGCCAAACTTTCGCAGCCGCTGCCGGCAGCGCGGCACCTGCCCCCGCCGCGCCCCGAGCCGGCGGCGGTAGACGAGCGCACCGCGCAAACTGCGCGGCCCCCCGCGCACCGCCTCCCCGCCCCGGCGCAAACAAATAAAGTTGCGGACTGGGAGGCTGGGGGTGTATGTGCGTGGAAGAAGCGAATTGCCCCGGGGGGCTCGGGCAGCCCTGGGGAGCTGCAGCCAGGGGCTGCGGAGCTGCCAGCGGCTCGGCCCGGCTGCGGGGCCGGGGGCGGGCGGGCGGGCGCCGCGGATCTCGTGTGTCCCCCCCGCCCCCCGTGTGTGCTCTCGGTCCCTCCCTGGGAACAGGCGCTGCCCACCCAAGGAGGCGACCGGCGCTCCTGCCCCGCTCCCGCTCGCTCACTCGCACACACATATACCCGTGCGTGCGCCTCTCGCTCCCTCGCTGAAGTCAGCGCTTGGGTTTTCAGGTTGATCAGACCTGAAATCTAAGGGAAAAAGCTCCGCGTTTGCGTCGCTGCTCCTGCCGCTGGTGGTGGTAGCGGTGAAGAGGAGAGAGGTTTGTTTCTTTCCTTTTTTTTTTTTTTTTTTTTTTTTTTTTCTCCCCTTGAATTCAATGGATCTGAACTTGGAGTCTCTGGACCTCGGCGGTTTTGGAATATCTACATGCTGATCCTCTTTGTTGTGACACATCAGCTCGTGCGGGGAAACCATCCGAAGACAGCAAGATGTTTCTCGTTATCTTGTACTTCGCTTTGCCCTTAGTGGGTAAGTTGCTGGCGTCTGATTTCTCTCTGAATATTGCTTTATAAAGCAAAGCATAGGGTTTATGGGATCGGATGCCTGTCAGTTGTCAGTCTATTGTTTAGGCAGAACAGTGAAGTTTTCAGTAGTTTTTACAGCTCTGCCTCACATCTGTTAGCCCAGTCTACATTTAAAGCTCTGGGAGATTACAGACTTAGATACCTCTGTAGCCTCTTGTGTAAATTGGATTCTTGCAAGTTAGAGGGAAACTTTTCATTTTAATAAAATAAGGCTGCTTGGGGGGATGTGTGTGTGTGTGACAAGAGCCAGCTGAAGGATTACATCTTCACCTGAACCTGGCAGCCTGCCTGACTGCGAGCGGTTTGCAGCCCGAACTGGTTTCCTTTCCACAGGAGATGTTTGCGTTTCCATCTGTGTGTGTCTGAGGGAGCGTGACAGGGGGCACGATGGAGAGGAGAGAGTTAATGTAATTTGCTTTGTTCTCCTGCAAAAGCATCATATGTGGAGAGAAATGGAGGGGGGGAGTCATAAATTCTACCTTTATACATGTAGAATAAGCAAAAATGTGGACAGTCTTTAAAAAGTGACTGACGCAAAAAGAAGCTAATATCAATCAGTGAGGATACTTATCTCTCTGAGCTGGGTGTTCGTGGATGTAATTGAAATTGCAGCAAAGCTCTTGTGGAAAGTGAGGCTGAAAATTTAACCCCCCGAGTTAAACACTCGAATGGAAAGGTTATTTGTTTCACCAAAGTGGATCTAAGGAATAATGAATGCTTGTTTTTCTCAGGCACGTTAACCCCTGTGGTTTTTTTCCCTTTTTGTGTTTCCTCATAAATCAGTTAGCGGGTTTAAAACATACTGTTTCCTTGGGCTCCCACGAAAGTGGATCTAAGACTATGAAAACCCCGTGTGCTTTTTCCTAAGGCGTAGCATGAAGCCCATAGGTTTGCAAGGTGCTGCCCGTGGGGCTGGCTGCATGAGGAGGTGCCTTGTGCTTCCCAGATGCCTTGCTTTGGAGCCCCGCTTAAATCAGGCTCGTCCCTCAACGAGAGTTTGTTGGTTTGTGTCTCCTCTCTCTAGATGTACTTTTGTCTGCAGAAGTGAGCGGGCTGCCTGCAGGGGACCGCCTCGACTGTGTGAAAGCCAGCGATCAGTGCCTCAAGGAGCAGAGCTGTAGTACTAAATACAGGACACTGAGGCAGTGTGTAGCCGGCAAAGAGAGCAACTTCAGCCGGGCGACAGGCCTGGAGGCAAAGGACGAATGCAAAAGCGCCATGGAAGCTCTCAAGCAGAAATCTCTGTACAACTGCCGCTGTAAGAGGGGCATGAAGAAGGAGAAGAACTGCCTGCGCATTTACTGGAGCATGTACCAGAGTTTACAGGGTACGTTGCAAAAAACAGAAACGTTACACTCCCCTAATGCTGTGTGAGATTTTGCAGCCCCTCACATCTGCAGCTAGCTACCACCACTGAGGCTAAACCCAGTGTCTGACCCTGTAATTCACAATGTGCTCTTCAGCTGCAAACTGAGGATCTTTCATCCGACTCAAGAACAGCTGCTGCTCCATCTCCTGTTGTTGGGAAATCCACAATGAGGGTTTCCTCCAGGGGACCCAGCTGACCTTTCTAAACCAGAGTCAAAAGATAAGGGCACTAGCAAGTGCAAGAGCTACAAAAACAATCATTTGGAGACGTTTTTCTAATAATATTTAAACTTCTTAATTAGGACTCACCTAACAAGATCACAGGACAGTGGAACTAGTTTCTTAGTTCTGTGCTGGAAGTTAAATGTAATATGAAGAGGAGCATTGTTTTAATGAAATATTTATTCTTTCATGTATTTACTAGCAATATTACCTGTGCATGTTGAGGCACAAAAAAATAAGTCTGTGCTTCCTAGAGCCTTCCTAGAGAAGTGTTAGTTAGAAGGGATATGACAGTGACTGACTCGGGACTTCTGTTCTTGATGTCACTGGCAAATTTCCTATAATCTACTGAGAACACGGGTCCTTATATGAGGGATATAATTTTCAGCCCTGTTTTGCTCTGGCCATGGAGTTGAAGATGCAGTCTTTCACTTCAGTGTGGTCCCCATTTAACTATTTTCTGTAGCTGTTTCTGCAAAAAGGAAGTCATCCCTTTTGGCTCATTTATCCAGGCATCTACTGGAACGTTTTAATGAGTCAATACATATTTTTTTTTTTCTAACTTTCATAATAAATTAGACTACTCTGACATTTTCTGCATCATAAAAAGTTTCCCTTTCAACAGCATCTTGTTAGGGGTGTTTTGTTCCAAAGATGCTAGTTTTTAGCTGTTAACTGGGTTGCATCTCAAAAACAGAGCTCTGCTGTTAGGGAGAATGAAGACAAACATCCTTGCTACAGCACCTCTCCTGCTGGCATGAGATCAGACAGTCTCTGTGATGTCACAGGCTGTCTCTGCAAATTATGACCTTATCCATGGAAGAAGGAGAGAAACGAACTAGTGACAGGGATAGACAACTAGCTTCTTTCAGGTGTTTTTATGGATAATGCTTTGAGGACAAATAAACAGATTAAAGGGGAGTATCTTTTGTTGTTACAGAGTAACTTCATTTCAGAGTAAAATTAAACAAAATATTATCCTGAATTCTTGTATAAGAAAAAATCCAAATTTTTTTGTCTTTAGGAAATGACTTGCTTGAAGATTCCCCTTATGAGCCAGTTAACAGCAGACTATCAGACATATTCAGGCTAGCACCAATTGTATCAGGTAAGCAGACTTAAAATTATTTAACTGAAACACAATTACAATCTGCTGCTTTGTATTTGAATTATGGAACTTTCAAGCAATACTCGCTTGAATAAAAGGAACCATTAATGGCTTTCTGATTTTAGGAAGTTCATGATATAGTTGCACAAAAGAAAATACTAATTGGTTTCGAAATAATAACTAAAACTGAAAGAGTGCTTGGCAGGATAGCAATTTGTATTCTTTTTGAGTCATTCTTGACAATAAATGCTAAATTTTCCTGTAGGTGGCAATCTGATTCCCTGCGTTCCTAATTTACAAATCGGTTCCTTTTTGGGAATGTGGTCAGTGCAAGTTGCCTCCCATTGACATTAAAGAAGATCAGAAGAGAAATCTTTCAAATGTTTGCATAAGGGGATGCTTTATAGTTTCATACACTTTTGTTGAAGAAAAAAATTTCAGAAGTAAGGCTTGTCTTTTCTGGATCTGCTGCCTGTTTAAAGAGACTATTCACAACTTCCTTCTTTTTCTAGTTTTTCCCTGAACATTTTTTGTTGCTATGTGGCTGTCTTTCAGAACTTGTTTGTGGTAATTTGAATATGTTGCTCAGTAATTAAACTATGCTGTTCATTTTTTATCAGCCTACATCATACTCATTTTGGATTGTATTTATTGAAACAATAATTTCTGGGCATTCAGAGGGGCTACAGATTGGAATTAATTTTCTTTTTTGGATTTTCAGAAGGTCTTATGAGGATGCAGTCTGTATATAGGACCTTTATTTGTTTAGTCACATAAAAAAATTGAATGTGCACCGTATAACATATAAGTCTGTCAGTGCTGAAGCTGTAGTTAACTGACATGCTATGGATAAGCATTAGTAGATGACTCTTTAAAAGGAATAAGGAAAGACCAGAGAGAGTGGCTTGACCAATTTTCAAAAGTACTTACACTTTTTAGGACCCTAAGTCTCATTAAAAGCCAGGGGGAGTTAGGTTGTTAAGTATTTAATGGTACAGATTTTCAAAGGCATATAGACACATAAAATGTAGATAACTGCCCATTGGGATTTTCAGAAAGGACTAAGTGATTTAAATAGGCGTTAGATGCCCAGGCAGTTTTAAAAATTCTAAGTGCTTAATGCATCTTTAGGTATCTTAATGCCTTTGAAAATCAGCCCTTTAGTCACTTTTCAAAATGTGACTTCAGATCCAAATCACATACATCTTTTGAAAGCATTATCCTAGTTTGGTGAGCAAGTCTGTTGGAGAAATAATAGAGAACAAAGTAATTTCTGAAGAATCTTTACTTATTTTATTTTTTATTGCTTAAACCCCCAAACTTAACACAAAACCAAGACAAAATCGATTCAGAGGAGTTTTCTTAATGGTCAGCTTGCAGAGGGCCAAATTCGAACCTACCTCAGCAGTTTCGTGATCTGCATAGAAATACCCTATGTACACTCTGCCTATCTGTTATTTTTTAAGATTCCTTATTTGCTTGCAAAGTAATTACCTTAAAATGTAGTATTTTTGTTGTACCTATTCTGTGCAACAGTGGAATAAGACATAGTTGCCAACAAGTGATGTCTGTCCTACCACAGTGACTTAAGATGCTGGTGGACTGGTTAGGACTCCTTCTGTGTTACTAGTGCACCCCAAATTGCTGTTCACTTTGTCAGAAGTTTCAAGTTTACAAGGATTGGAGGCCTAGATTCACAGGGAGCAACAAACAAAAGTTGTGATACAGTGGAAAACCACCAGTATTTGGAAGTGTTGTCATTGCAAAGGAAAAGATTAGCAAAAGCATTTCTCTTATTGTCATGGTTACTACTGCATGTTGCATTCTTAAAGCTACCTAGTCTTACAGATTGTTTGCAGGGCTCTGCAAATACCCCAAACAGCAGAACTTGGTAAGATTCTGGTATCTTGTTTAAAACAAGACAAAACCCCCCTGTACAAGTGGTGTTGGCAGGGTTTTCATAACTGGTATTCTGCTAATGTGACCATTGTGTTTATAGATACTGCTGCAGTATTTGCTCTCATAAAGTTACTTGGGTGTAATTAAAAGCAATGATTAACCCTTTAATCTCACAAAGGCCATTCTGTGGTACTGTATGACTTGATATATATCAAGTGTAATGCTTCTGCCACCTTTCTTTTTGAGGCAGTATAGAAAATCACAACAGTTGTCTTTTATGGTACATAAAAGGGGAAAAGCATTGGCTAAGATGACTGTTTTTTTGTGTTACATAACTCTTTTGTAGTGTACATAAGTCTAAGAAATGGAGGGCAGTTTTTAAAAGCAGTTAAAATTGATCTAATTCTATACTAAAGGGTGTTCAAAATTGCATCCTCTATGAAAACAGGATGCCACTTTCTCGTTAATCGTTCAAGCATCAATATGTTGATTTAAAACAAAAAATTAGGAATATGTTGCTAAACCTGGTACTAAGTTTGTAGTTTCTCTTCAGTTCCCGTTATGTTAATGGCACAAGTGATACAGTCGTGTGTTACTGATGTGAAGCTTTGTTTTACATTTTTAAGTGGTCTTATGTTATAGTGGGGCTAGTGGTGTAGTTAGTCTAGAACTAGAAGGACAAGCTACGTGTTCTATATAAAATTTAAATCAATGTCCAATGACGCAGAAAAGAAAAATTTAAACCCACAAAATTATTTATCATAGTCCTAGATGTTAAGCCCAGGGAATCTTATATTTAGATACTAACAAGCATGAATTTTGCATTTCAATCACTACTAAATTTGCAATGAAAGTGTAATTTATAAAAAAAAAAAATAACTGATGGCTAAACTAGGAATGTAAGTTCAGTGTTTGATTTACTTGAATACTCAGGATATGTCATCACAAGTGCTCTTCCTTCTCTTCCATCTACACTTTGAGTGCATAATTCAGCTCCTTCTATAAAGTTAGTCCTCTGACACCTCGCATGGCCAAATCCAGGACTGTCAGTCTTCCCAGTGGAAGGACAGGGCTGTCTTGGTTTTTATTTTGGGCATGTCTAGGTCTAGGTCTGAGTTTTCTTTAGAACTGCTATGTCTGATGTGGTACTTCTGCCTCAAGGGCGTGAATTTCTTGCTGGTAGTCAGCTCTTCAAACTACTGAAGACTTGTGTGTGTGTTTTAGAGAGAAACAGATTTGGGTTAGTTATTACGTTGTAAAGATTTTGCTTAAATAGACATTTTTGCTTAAATCTTAACAACTTCTGAGAGGTGAAAACATTTTAAGGCCATTGACTTCTCTCACAACTACAGCAAATGGGAAATCTGTTGATTGGATTTCAGAGGTGAGTTTCACACCAAATTAAGGATGGATGCTTGAATTAGTCACTTGTTAAAGCTATCTATAGCTTTTTAATATCTGGGGAACAGTTTGCCTCCTAAATTTGTATTGTGTTTGACATTGAGCCTTGCAACTGGAAGATACGTTATTCTTTTGGTATCAACTGATATAGTATAGTGGTCATCTCTGTGGCATCTTGTATGAAAATATCCTGCAAAAAAACTGTAGCTTCACATACGTGTAGAAATACTTAAAAAAAAAATAAACGTTTCTGAAATGTCTCATTCATTTCAACACAAAATGGAGAGTCGCTAAAGCTGAATAAAATGCCTTAAGCCATATCTGTGAAGTGGTGCAAGTAGAATACTTAATGTTAAAAAGAATTGACTATTTAGATCAAAGTATTTAGGATGACAACACTCTCCTCCCGTGGATTCACTTTTAAGTTGCTTAGTTAATCACAGGCTCATTATCCCATTGTTCAGCTTTGTGTATCTTTTCTTATTTCTTTTGCATTTATTATGTTCAGATATAATCTTAAAGAACAGGCTCTGTAAATCAGAATACTTCTTGAAGCATGTAGGTTTTGCTGGTAATCTGTGGAGAATTGTTCAGTTACATGCTACTAGTTACGTCTTGTTTCCAGTTGCGAAAATGCAAGACACATAGAAATTAATTATTTTGCTAATATTTCTTTTCAGTGTAGTAAACTGTTTTTGCAAAGTGCCTTCTGTATCACTGACAAATGCAAGAAAGAAACTGTCTTGTATGGTTCCATGCCAAAAGGAGTGTTTCCTGAATCTGTGCTCTCATGAGAGGCTGTTTACTTTTAAAAACTCCGGGAATCTTCTGTTGCAGATGATATCTAGAAGCTTGTATTTAGAAAAGGTTATATTTTATATTTGTTAATTAAGAATTAATTCAGTAGACAGCACAGCACACAGGGCTTCGTACTGGAGTGTATCATTCCATGTTAGCACATGGGTTGCACAGCACATGAAGTTAGCATGTTTGATTTGCATACTGAATAAGCTGTAAGTACAAATATAAACAATTATGATCAGTAAGAAGGCCTTTTATTGTATTGAAAATGTTGAGACTATAGGAAGTTAGCAGTGCTGGAATTCTCAGAAGGGTGTGTGTGCTGGTGGCATTTAAATTAGGCAGTCTCACGTGCATGCTTTCTGCAGGATTTCATGAAGATGGGTCTGGGTGTCCCTCTAGGATCTCTATGTTGTTCAGAAGGAAAGTCGGTTAACTAGTAGTCTCCCCGTTCTCCTCTGAGGTTTTCAGAGCCTTTTAGGCATCCTGTATAATTGGTGTTCACAGATCAGAGAGTCGATGCTGGGAAAGAGTTGAAGTCCAGTATGCAAAACACTTCCTTCAAGATTTGTCAGACTTTTATAAGGGGATACTTCCTTCTCCCCAGCATAAAACCTGCTCTGAGTATTGATGACAGCTGTCTGGGCCCTCCCTGTTATTTTATCCTTCCCAGAGATAGGGTAGAGACATCACTGAGAATGGATTTTAAGTGTTTCCTTTGGAAAAGTTGCTATGAGCAAAGATGGGGGAGGAAGTTTGGGGTTTTTCAATACAAATTTTCAGGATCCAGAGAAACAGAGCTTTCTTGTCTGTGTGTTTAAGGTCCTTTAGGATTCCTCATACCTTGTCTTTCTGCTACTTCTGTAAAGAGAAATTTGCTTCTGTAAAGAGAGGGTATA